ATGTCGTCTGCATATTCCAGATCGACAAGATTTTCTTCACAGTCTATTTGAACAAACAGGGAGTTTGGAGACCCTCCAGCGTCTTAAGTGGGACATAAGGTTGACGGAAACTCGGGGACTGCGCCTACCTGATGAGCTCCAATAAGGGCGAAAGCGGTCGTGCGCTGTCGAAGAGTTTTCAGCAACCTTTGAGTAGTTTCCTTTATTAGAATATGCACTAGTTTGAGACAAGTTTCCAGCTATAAACCTGGTCGTTCTGACGGCAACCAGGCTCAAATTAATATAGCAAAGGTAAAAAAACTTTTCCCGCATATGTTTCAGCATTTCAAAATCGCTCCCATATAAATTAATCATTTTCGTTCAAAGTAGAAGAGCCTTTAATCAAGTCACGGCCTTTTTTAACCTCATCCCAAAATGACAACGGATGATGATTCGCGAACTACACTGACTTGGTAGCTTCAACCGAATCCCACTTAAATATAATCTTTATGATGTTTTCCAAGTGACTGTCCTGCACAAGGCTATCTTGCGCACCAGCTGAAGCATGAAGTGGCCTTGTGCATCACATTCAGTTGTATTACGTATGCTGAACCATCATTTTCTGAATAGAGTGCTGTTTTCCGTGCCCAATTCAAAGTGGCGGAAGCAGAGAGGTGGCCAACCCTTGACCTTAAAGAAGGGTATGAAAGAGATCACCAAACGTTTGGGTGCCGTCGGTGCTACTCGCCTTTCACGATGGGGACCAGGTGATCCCCACTGCGCCTCGTTAGAGACGCTGCAATTTGTGGCTACCAACCGATGTCAGTGGCGTTCTTGTCAGCTTCTGTCCAAATAGCCTGAATGAGTGTCTCCAGGTGTAGACACCTCGGAATGATTGTAGTAAGCTAGTACCAAGTCCCTTCCCTACCCACCTTTATTCTTTTATCAATAGGGCTTTCAAATAAATATTTGTACGCCAGTGAAGCATCGATGTTGAACACCAATGTGCTGCATAATGACTGCTCAAGATATATTCAGATGTTTTCCACAAAGTGTTTGTTGTTGTACGGAGTACCGTACTTCTTGAGAATTCGAGGATGCCTTTCATTGCACTGGATTTTACAACTCATTTCATCAAGCCCTCTGTGCTATTCAATAGGCAGCTGGTTTTCCCGGCACGTGTTGGTTACTCCTGAAGTTGGTTATGTTCCCTCAAAATTAGTAGCATATTATTTGAGGAAAGTGGGAATCGTTTCATCTGTGGCATCATTGTGCAGCGGTTTTCGTTCTAGTGTTAATCTCACGCCAGCAGGGTATGCCGGACCTTGGTCGCTGGCCGGAATAAGTGACTTTAATTGGGGCCATTGACCCCAGTGTTAAACTGCTATTAGCACCACTGCTGGCGAGACCACCAACCACGTGTTGCTTTTTTGCTCCCGCTTTCCATGAAATTTTCTAGGTTGTATGTACGCTCGTAACTCGCGAACCTCGAACACGGGAGCCTTTTTTTCTGTTTGAAACCCATGAACTTGGTTGGTATTAGTCACTGGACTCTCCATCTGATTTCCAGTCAGCTGTAACATCCTTTCGGTGCCCAGCTGCCATGCCACGCGAAAGAAGCTCGAGGGCTGGGATACTGCCAGGATGCCCAAGCCTCTACAGGGGAAGTCGAGAGGCAAAGGTCGGGCTCGAACCACAGACCTTCCAGTCAGTAAATTCGCGCTCTAACCACTTGAGCCATCTTGCCCCCCTCCCAAAACATGTCATCCTCATCTGAACCCATCGTTCTTTTCCGCAGTCACCCTCTCTAGCCCCAGTTTCTGCTGTCGACCAGTGCCATAAAAAGGTTAAAAAAGGATTCCATTTAAACTTCGCCCGAATATCCCAAATCCTTATGAATAGCGACGTCCAAATACTCAGTGCTGCTTGGCACTAGTGTGTTGGAGCGAATTCTGTTGGCCCCACACGAGTAAACGATTTTCTTGATGAGGTCACTCTTCAGACGATCACAGTAAAAACAACTGCTGTGGCCCTTGTCAACTTGAACCAACCGAGATTGATGAAAGTCTAAGGTTACGTGTAGCAGGAAACAAAGAAATTCTTAGCAAAGGTGAATTTTGAAAATGAATCCTATGGAAAAATGTATTTTCGAAACACGCTTTCTGGAAGATCATGATTATGTGGTTTTGTATCTGTCAGGATGGAACCGATTCTTGGAAGTAAAGACGATGGTCTCAACTTCTGAAACGTTTAAGTCGTGCACTGTGATTGCGTCGCTACTCAGCTGCAATTTGGTGGAGAGCAAGATTATTCGCGAAAGCAGGTTTCGAACTGTTTGCTTCTGTGTTCCACAACTCCAGCTGGGCGCTCTCCGAAAAGTTCTCGCCATCTGCAACCATCTTTACACCAACACATCCTCGATGGGTCTTGCTTGATTGAGTTCCCAGTTGAAGGATACATTTCGTTACGAATGGGCTGTCAATGCGTTTGACTTCTGCTCCGTTCAGTTCTACCTGGAAGGACAATAAACAGATTAAATCGGACTGCATAACCCCATTTAAATTTATTATGGTAGCCTTATACCAACTTTTCGATCCAACCGCTGGAGACGAACTATTCAGTGTACTTTATCTGGAGAACGATATTCCTCGGAAAGCCGAAACAAAACGACTAAGGCCTTAGTTTGGGTCATTTTCAGCTATTTTACTCGCTTTATGCACTTCCTTGGTAGTGAACTCTTACTAAGTGCGTCACACGTACGTGCACAAAATAAATACTAAGCAGAAAATAATCCTTTTTCCTCGCCTACTTCTGCTTCCGATGAATACCTCACGTATGAAGCCAAATGGCCCGCAGCATTATCCTAGGTCTACGCTATCCATAGCCGACTGTCCGGCAGTACTTTTTTGCTCTCTGTCATCCAGTTTCATTCACGGTATCCCATTCCGTAGACAATGTCTTCTCCGAGGCGATCGATATGTCCTGATGCCCAAAATACAGGTTTCAAGCTGGCCTTTATCTGCCAGTCCCGGCTAGCACAGGGGTTTGCACTTCAGCTAAAGTCTCGTTCGTTCTTCTAATGGATCGAATACAAAAATTCTCCCATACTACCTGAATACGACGACTGCTCGACTGTCATTTGATCTCAGAGCCCCACAAGTTAGTATTTTGAGCGCTATTCTCTCAAAATCTTGATCCTTTTAGCCCGTGAAACCATCGCTCGGAGACTGAGCCTGAGCGCAGCACTTGTCAGTCATAAATGCAACACCTTGTATTGATTCCCTACAAGATTAAACCCTAGCTAGACAAAACCACATTTTCCTCATTTAAAACTCGACAGCCATTATCTGACAATATTCTTTTCGAAAATTCTATTCAAACACCCACCTGATATCCGCAAATTTTCCGACCATGATTCATTCCTAGTTCGTTCAACTGTGGACCGGCCCAGGTTATCAGCCAACGATCGTCCAGTGTGAGACGCACTGCAGTGAGACTATGAGGAACAGCTGGAGGTTGATGATCTGCAATCATTCGGCTGTCGTCCTCAGTGTCCTTTGGCGGTCCCAAGACATCCTGAAAGTGATTCAAAATGGTCAAAAGGGGTGTTCTAAAACTGCATAAGTGATAGTGCTAGCTTTGCATAAAAACAGTGAGGCATTTGAGTGTGTGAACGACAATGCTTTGTGTAGCTGAGCGCTGCTGTACTGGTCAACCGTGTGCGCACTTCCCTCGTGTCGAGAGTGGCTCGTTTTTGTTTTGTTAATTCGAACATACTACTCATCTTTAGTGGGTAGTGACAATCGAAGACGTAATCACTGGCGGCTGCAAGCAAAAGCAGCAGAAGAGCTGAATCTAAAATCCGACCTGACAGGGCTTGCGCTTCGAAAATTGAATAACTCGGTCCTGGTTTTTCAATTGCCAAGGACTCTTTGGTTTCCAGTGGTGTTACCTCATGCAGAGGCACATTCTGATGAAGTGAATTTGCAACATAAATATGTTGATGAACTATTCTCCAGGGAAGAGCTTTACTGTCGACATTGTTCTGGCATGTACAGAGGTTGTCTTATGAACGCTCACCATAGCATGGGCGTCATGTCAGTAATGACCTTACGCGCGAAAAAACGATGCGCATTACCGCCTACTTGAAGATGTGCTCTATTATGTGGTATTTTAGCTCAGTGTCATGCCTGCAAGCGACGTTCCTACCCGATTACTCGTCGTGGTATTTGGCGGGTTGTCCGAAAAAACTTTGGGCATTATCCGAGAGCTCAACGCAGTCGCACAACCATGTTAGGGAATATAAGCGCAGAACCCCTTGTCAGGAGAATGAAGGCTGAATATATGAGTTACATAAAACGATGAGAGACCATTTTCTGTAAGACTAGGAGTCCCGTTAATGGTTTTCCTGAAAAGATTATAGTGACTCGTAGCAAATGAAAAGTTGGACATCTGTAAGGATTATCCCGGTTTAACGTCAAAGTGCCTCGTTATGAATAGGGGAATCGGTTGCGACTGCCACACCATAAGCGCAACAAAACCATTGGTCCCAGTAGAGCTGGATCCCATTCAACCCATCCGACCGCTGATTCAAGTAAGGTCACTTATCATATTATTAAATCAAAACGCTTATCAAATATGTATCTGGTCGGTATAAGGGAATATGTGCCTTACTGATTGTCGGTTCCGGAATAAGTGACTGTTTCAATGACAAAATGACCAAAAGAATATCGTCCTTGGGAAAGGTGAGAGAATAGGATTTGTCTCCGAAAGGCTTAATATCGTGTCTGGAACCGACTGGGTTCATCCTTGAGAGGAATCTTCGTGCATACAGATTGGTAATTGCATAAAATTTGAGTTGTTGATGAAGGTGCGGAAAATTTATCATTGATCTTCCAGATCAATGGAGGAACCGCTGATAACAAAATAGATTCACGAGCATCGACGAAATGACCTACCAAATTTAGGGACATTTTTCCTGAAAAATTGGTGGATTGAATAAGCAGAACCAATAAGGACGTCACTATTCGT